AATCATGTCTTCTTCACCAAAGAGGTCATCCTGATCAAAGGGATCATCCTCAATCTCAGATGGAGCAGAGGGGGCAGGGAGAGGGGAGGAGGACCCGGGATCTTTAGGAAAAAGACGGGTCACCAAGGGCAGAGAAACGGTTAGAGGAAGGAGAGGGAGCCTTGGTTTGATTCGGGGTAGGGGTGATAGGTTTGAAGGCTTAGTATTGGGATGGTTAAGAAACAGGGGTCTGGGTGGGGAGGAGGGTCGAGGAGGGGAGGATAAACCCATATGGGGGGAGTAGAGACTGGGGGGCTAGCTCGGGGCAGATTTTTTCTAAACAGGATGGTACTCTTTACTAGGGGGAGCCTTCACATTGGTCACTTTAGTATCAATAATGTTTTTTCCATTCACCAGAGAGGGTTGGGCATTCTTTTTGACATAAATAGCATTCTTACGTTTGATGGTTCGGAAACCAACATTGTTAGTAGCAGGAACATGGCCATCAATAACATTTTTATCATTAGTGTTCACAGAAGAAGCATTCACTTGAGAAGTAACATGAGAGCACGAAGAATCAAAATGACCAAAAATCATGCAATGAGAACATATAGGGGGATTCCATTCATGATCAACACGCAGGGAATGCATAGACATATCAAGAGATTCAGGGTCTGGGATACGTATCTTAACCATATCAATCTAGTTTTTTCTAACAAGGACTTCAAGCAGGACCCTAGCAAAAGCAGATTTTCCAGCAGCATACTTGCACATATTTGTAGTCCAAGAGTCCATAGCCAAGGGTTTACCAATTTTGCTAGCAATATAGCTAAGGCCCTCATCATTCCACATATGATAAGGTATATCATGAATTTTAATCCATAGAGGTATACTGTCATGTATGTTCGAGTTTAGATCAAGGCCAGGCCTCCATTTTTGAAGAAAAATGGGAACATTTTAAAGGTCCAAGGACCATTATCAACAACTTTTTGAAGGCCTTCATCAGAATTTAATTTAAAAAGATAAATGCCATGGCCATTAAGAAGAACCTCCTCAATACCAAATTGGGACCAAATGTTAGAAGCATAAAATCGCACAATGGGAAAAGGGAGACGTTTACCAATAAAATAGCCACATAAGGTTTTAGCATATGTCACACAGCTTTTTTTAACAACAGAAAGAGGCATATCAATAGGAGAATCAACATAATCACTTAAATAAGGGATAAAGTGAAAATTAGTATTAAAATGCTTATTAGGACCACTAAGAACATTAGTCAGACAATTAGGCAATATACTAGCATTCTTTCCATTCCAAACAGAAGAAGAAATAGCAATAAGGTCCACTTTTTTTGGACTTTTTGATCAATTAGAATTTTTTTTTTGGTTTTGTAAAATATTTTTTCTAGAAGCAGAAGGCATGGAAGGGGGGGGCGGGGGCGTAACAGAAGAAAACACAGTTCCATTAATATTAGCATAAAGGTGGGGTTCAAGCAAAGGGGGGGAAGGCAAGAGAGGGGAGGGAGAAGGGTTAGCTAAAACAGTANGAGGGATTGCACATCTTTAGAAACAAAAGGGGGGTGGGGAGGGGGGGAGGGATTGCACATCTTTAGAAACAAAAAGGGGGTGGGATAAAATAGAAGACGTACCTGAGCCGATGGTAGACAGGCCCAAGGGGGAGTCATCAGGATTTGGCCCATCTTGATTAACAACCTCGAGTTGTCCTGATGGAAGACTTGGGCTACGACCCACATTGACTTCACACATATCAGGGGGCGCTGTTGATGGTCCACTAGGCCAGAAGAACGTAGGCCTGTTATGAGATTTAATCCAGTAGACAAAGAACCGTTACCCAAAATAGGAACCTCACAGGCCTGGTGCTCGTCGCTCATCTCCAGATCCATGGACTCAACATCTGGCCCATTGTTAGCAACCACAGCAGGGCCTATACTAGAATTTCCAACCGAAGAGCTGAGGATATTAGGCTTTAAAATAGGAGCAGACTGAGGACTAACCTGGATTTGGCCGGCCAAATTAACATCCGGCTGGGAACTGGCATAGGTAACAAACGTCCCTTCACGAGCAAGCTGACCTTCTGTGAGTAAATCACTTCAGCCAGGCTCGACATCAGGATCACATGGATTCTTCTTTGGGTCTTCTAGATGCTTGCCTTCATCATGAGGTTGTTCATAGTCCATAGCAATAATTTGGCAGTCCGAGTCTACATGGCCCAAATGAGGATTGTCTGGGCTTAAGGGATTTGGCCCAAGCTTAACACCATAAGGGATAACATGTTGCTGCTGTTGGATAGAAGGACTAATGGACGCATCTTGCGCTACATCATTCTTTCCCATAACAGAATGGGCCTTACTAGATGGACCATAGGCTGTAAAAGGACTAACATGAAAAGGAGAGTCCATAGAATAACTTACCTGGATAGGAACATGCGTGGATAAATCATGGATACTGGATAGTATGCATGTTAACCTCCGTGGACACATGTCCCTTCAAAGAAGATCCACTTAATCCATCACTCTACATGGGCTTTAGAGAAGAAGACACTTAGGCTTGAAAAGTCATTCCAACATCATCCACGTGGTTGCTGGATAGACCAGCGGGGTGCAAAGTGCCTGGATGATTCTCTTTCCCTCTTGGCTCCACGTAGTTTCCATGCATAGGACTGCAGAAAAAGGTAATGATATTATCCGAATTTTCTATGCATGGAAACTGTCCCAAAGACGCATCTCTTCCCATTTCAGGAATTATGTACGTTTGTTCGTCGTGTTCTTCGAGTTTATCGTTCATCTTCAACCCATCTTCATGACCAGCAGCAGGCAGCTTTTGTTTGCATGACTGGGCCTTCATGATATTCATCGAAGAGCCGGCTTGATGAATATCTTCAATCTGATCAGAACCCGAGCTTGAACTCCTTCCATAACCATCTTCTTTGAAATCAGTGCAGGGAGGGAATCCAAAGTTGAAAACCTTCCGGTGGGGCTGATTGCATTTGGAAGGAGAAGAATTGACCGGAACATCGTTTAAGTATGGTTTTTGAAGCTCCACCCTCATCTCAGAATGGAATCTTCAACAGAAATTTCAGCATCCTTAACAGAATGTTTAAAAACAGTAGGATAGTCCAACGTACCAACTTCTTTTCTACTCCCATGATCTGCTACATTATCTTGATTTCCTGCATTAAAACTATTAGAGCCTAAAGAGTAGGGATGAAAATTATTACTAACCTTCAAGGCCTCCTCCTCTTCTATAACAGATCGAATCTTTGAATGAGAATGACGGTTTTTTAGAATCACCAACATCCTTTGCTTGTCCACGATGACCCTCCTTCTTACCATACGTTTGGCATAAAAATGATAACCATTCATCATAGTCTTCCAACATAGATTTGGCAAACGATTTTTCACACGATGAGAAGGAGATCGTTGGTTAGGAAAACAAACTTTCCTAGTTTTCATATGCCTTGATTTCTTCATTGGAGGTGAACGATCCTCCATGGAAGCCAAGGAAGAGGACGAAAAACCCAAGAACCTTGAAAATCAGAGAGAGAGAGAGAGAGGAGGGGGGGGGGGGTTTGATTAGACCGATTTATGGATAATATCTAAACGAAAAACTTCAACTTCATGATGCGATTTTCTTGACACTTGGGTTTATCCTAAATTTAAGGGGGTGCTAATGTCACCCCCTTTCATGTCCGAATCGAGTCGTTCAAGCATTAAGAATGTAAAAAACATGTATTGATGTTGATGTATGTGAAGGAAAAATTCATGGATAGGGATGCATTAAGCAAAGCATAGGAATGCATTTAGCCCACCCCAAATTTAACCATGCAACTCTCCAATCAATCCTTCAGACCATCCACTATAACTACACAACATGTCCCATCTCATGATATATATTTCCCAAATAGCCCCAAAATTAAATGTGGTGTTACATTAATCTTTATTTCAAAAATAAAAATGGGTTTTGTCTTATTTAAATTTTTGATTATATGTTTCATATAAATTGCCATGCATTGAATGAAAATTGTTGATTTTGTCAGCGGGAAAATTAGGTCTATCGGCTTAGACCTAATGTGTCACTCATTTATTAGTACTTCTACTCCGGTAACATTTAGGGGCTGTTTGTTTTTTATAATTCTCCACTTAATTACCTCTTAACTCTTAATCAGTCAGACATAAGTGATTTCAGAACTTTTTTTTTTAAATAAAGAGTTTTTTTACCTATTACCGTCCTCTTAGTTTTAAGTGAGAATCCTATTTCTGAAATCAATTTAGAACCGCCTCCCATCTCCATCTCGCTCTCAGTTCTCGATTTCTCCATCTCCATCTCCATCTCGCTCCTCCATCTCTCTTCAGCTCTCGATTTCTCCCACTACCAAAATTACCCTCTTTTGTCCGCCGGAAAAGAGGGCGCCGGTGATTTTTTTTACGTCGAGTTTTCCGGCGGATTTCGGCCGCTGGAAATCTTTCACCGGCTTAATTAAGAAATTTGGTTTAACTTAATAAAAAAATTTAAAAACTTTTCCGACGGATATATCTGCCTGAAATCCGCCAGAGTCTTTTCTCGCCGGAAAAAATTAATTAAACAAGATTTTCAAAAATAAATTAAAAAAATTTACCGGCGGCAGAATCCGCCGGAAATCCGCCGGTTTTATTTTTTATTTTAAATTTTTTTATTTAAATAAGATTTTCAAAAAAAATTAAAAAAATATCCGGCAGCCGGATCCGCCGGAAAAATAATTTCATTATAAAAAAAAATTTGTTTATTTTTTCAATAAATATTTAAATCCTGTAAATCTATAAAAATATGGATAAAACTAAAAAATTAAAATGCAACCAAATATCATACATTGATTAAAGTAAACAATTGTTACAAAACATATACAATTTTAAGTATCACAAAATGTTACAAACAAACTAAATTATTCCAAATAAACAAACAGTATTCAATTAGATGGCGGTGGGAATTGTGATTGACGGAGTTCGTTAACCAAAGCAGTCATATTCATTCGTCCTCAGAGTCACTATCCGAGTATTGGAACTCCTCTTCTTCGTCAATACTCTCATCAACATGCCAGTTGTCGCGACGATCGTTGGCAACTTCGATGTCGTCTTCCCCTGTGACAAGCTGGATTGGTTCTTGAACATCTTCGTTTCTCTCATGTTGGGTTATTCGTTCATTTTCCTGGAAAAACTGTTCATCGTCTATATTTTCATCATCCGATCGGACTTCAGGGGTACTCGATGCTAAGTCATAGACCCCTCTTGGCTTTGTTTCACCACAGACCACCAATCTTTTAATAAATTTGATGGATATGGTACATAATAGACTTGTTCATCTTGTGACGCTAGGATGAACGGGTCGTCTGAACGAAGCCTTGATCTATGTTTGACGTCCACGATATTATGTTTTGGGTCAACTCGGACGCCGTTAACTGTGTCAAACCATGTGCATCTAAATAGTGGGACGACACAGCGACCGAGCTCATACCCATGATATTCTATATCAAAGACTTCATCCAACAAGCCATAGTAGTCGGCCTCGGAATCCGAGTAACAAGACCCTCTCACGCATACTCCACTATTATGTGTGGTGCGATTTCTACCATGAGTTAGCGTGTGGAACTTGTAACCGTTTACGAATAACCCCGGGTGTGTCCAAATCGTATGTAACGGTTTGTATGCCAAAATCCTAACAAGTTCTGAAGCAGGGTCTGACCGAGACATAACCTACAATCATGTCATTTGTAATATTTTATTAAGTACATATAAAGAATGATGAATTAAAGTTAATATGTATACACTTACGTGGGCATGAAACCATTCAGCAAAGTGATCGCCCCTACGTTTGTCGAGACCCACATCATCAATATATGGTTCTCTATTTAGGACCTCCTTATTGAAGATATCTATGAACGGAAAAACTTCTTCATAATTCAGTAAAATGTAGGTATGAGCTTTGTGCATATCTTCATCTGATAGATTAACATGCGTTCCGCCTTTATTAAATAATCCTCGACATGGAGTTTTAGATATACTTAACCGTCGGTCTGAAGACGAACAATCGGGGGCAAAATTTCGAGGCTCACGGTTCATACGTGTCTCTACCATTGTTCCAAAATACAGCAAGCAGTAGGTAGATAGTTCATTAACCAAATATGCTTCTACAATTGACCCTTCTACCCTTGATCTGTTTCTCACTGTCCTTTTCAACGACCCTAGACGTCTCTCATAGAGATACATCCATCGATATTGAACCGGACCTCCAACTATTGCCTYRCGWGCCAAATRTACCACAAGGTGTTCCATGGAATCAAAGAATCCCGGTGGGAAGACTCTTTCCAACTTGCAGATAGTTTCCACTATACTTGTCTGCAATTGAACCAAGTCGTCAATATGTAACACCTTTGAGCATATTGCAGGAAAGAATGTGCACAACTCAGTGATAGCATCCCATATTGGAGCCGGTACCATCCCTTTTATAGAAAGAGGTAGCAGCCTTTGCATGAACACATGACAATCATGACTTTTGAAGCCATAAAAACTACCATCTTCGACGTTTACTAATGCACCTAGGTTAGAAGCATAGCCGTCTGGGAATTTTAACTTCTTCAATTATTGGCACACCTTTCCTACTTGTTGTTTATTCAATGAATAGGAAGCTTTTGGTTTAAATATTTTATTTCGTTCCTCCCTCACATGCAACTCCGGTCGATTGCAGTATTCTTCAATGTCTTTCCTTGCTTTTACGTTGTCCTTCAATTTTGGGGTGTCCATGATGGTGTGAAAGATATTGTCAAACACATTCTTTTCAATATGCATTACATCAATGTTGTGTCGGATCAACAAAGTGTGCCAATATGGCAACTCCTAGAAAATGCTCTTCTTTACCCAATTGTGGGTTATCCCAAAACCCACAGGCTTCCTATATTGCCTTGAACCGTGTGGGACTCCATCATAGACCGTAGGAAGGCTACAAACTTGTGTCCATATTTGCTCCCCAGTTAGAAGAGGGGGTGGACCAACTTTTTCAACATGTCCAACACGAAATTGGTTTCTATCACGCCTGAACGAGTGTCTGATTGGCAGAAACTTGCGATGACAGTCAAACCAACACGACTTCCCTCCGCTTCGCAACTGAAATGCACATGCATTACCCATGCAATATGGGCAAGCTAACTTGCCATGTGTGCTCCAACCAGACAGCATGGCATAAGTAGGGAAGTCACTAACCGTCCACAACAATACAACCCTCATTGTGAAATTCGTTCGTCGATGAGCGTCATATGTAACGACACCGTCAAAGAATAACTTCTTCATCTCGTCGATCAAGGGCCGAAGAAACACATCCAAGTTCTGCCCAGGGCTCTTCTTGCCGGGAATCAGCAAAGCCAGGTGGACGTTCCAGTTTTTGATGCACATCCAAGGTGGTAGATTGTAGTTTGTAAGAAAAACAGGCCATAATGAGTATGGACTTGAGTTGGAGTTATTGGGATTGAAACCATCTGTACATAATCCCAAACGAACATTCCCAATCTCTTGAGCAAAATYGGRATGCATCCTATCAAAATGTTTCCAAGCCTCCCCATCACTCGGATGTACCATCTTTTCCGTCTCGGTTTGATGATGTTGGGTCAGCAGACTCGGTGTTCCCTCGGCAGGTCAAATCCTCGTCCTTAAACCCACCGCTCCTGTAGCAATGCAGGAGCATCCCACATCGGTGAGGCTAGGGATTCTTCTCTTCCTTATAAGGAAGAGGGAGTCTTCTCCTACCAGTGACGCATTTTAGAAAGCAAAACCATGAGGGGTTGTTGCCGTGCGGGGAAACCTCGGGGCAGCCCAGAGCGGACAATATCACGTGGGTGGCTCCCTAGTGCAGTTACCGGTCCAACAATTGGTAT